TACACCCAGGTTTTTGCAACTGTGTTTTCTGCTTTTAAATACAAATGTATGTTTTTACCTAGCGCCTTCCATGGAGGCAGTCCTCATAATCTCCAGTTTCCTGGAGGGGAAACATAGTCAATGCAGCATTCAAACGAATAGGAAAGGAAAAAAAGAAACACCACCTCTTTGGCTCTCAATCTTTGAAATCCATCCTGTGAAGCAGAATCTTTTTATTCCCAGCAGTAGAGACTTACAAAGGAAATGGCTAGTGATTATGAAACATGGGCTCGTTTATGACCTTCTAGAAACTGGACTACCTCAGTGAGGAGCAGACAGAGTTGGGGCAAAGGGCAGTGCAGTCCAAGTTTTCTTCTTTTTCTCAGCTGGGCTGAGTGTTGCCTCTTGACCAACATTACAACCAGCTTGGATCTATATGCAGAGCTTCTGGAATCCTCCTTTGCTTGCAGCTTCTTATCTTTCAGGTGGTCACATAGATGATCCTTCTCCATCAGTGTTTTGCCTGATAACCCATGGGATAGGTTACTGCTCTTTACACAGTACCGTAATTCTCAGATGCCTCAAAGTCGGTGGTCTTTACACAGTACCGTAATTCCCTGCTTATCCAGTATTCTCCAGTCACTAAACTTTAAGCCTCACAAAAACCACATCAGCTCTGCAAAGACTGTACCTCATTCTAGTGCCCAGTAAATATTGGTTGAGGAAATGAATGAAAAACATACTGCATTTTCAGAATGTGCAGCAAGGAGCATTTTTAGGTATGGTTCATTAGAAACTGACCTTTAATTTTCTCTGTAAAATCAGAATAATAATGTCAACCTTTTCATGTGTTCAGGTGAGGGGGCAGGTCAATGTTTCTCAACTTGGGGAGATATGCATCCAGGGGGACATTTATGCATCCAGGGGATCAACATGTCAGTAGTTCTGAGGTTGAGAAATCCTGGGGTAAGTGAATGGGCACAGATGGTGGCAGGTCAAAGGTGATTTTATTTTGTTTTATATACTGGAGCTTACCTCTTTGGATAGTACCAATAATAAGTACGCAGAGAATAACAGTTTGTAATTATTACGTTTATGCAATATGTCAGGCACTATATAAGCTTTTCACAATATTATCAAACTTAATCCTTTTAAGAGTGCTGTGAGTTAGAAACTCATTTCTCTTATGGGGAGACTGAGACTTAAAAGGTTAATTTATCCGAAGTCCTATGGCCACTGAGGGTCAGAGGTAGGATAGGAACTCAGGGCCCTGTCTGTTGGCTATTGCTCTGTACAACTTTCTCTGTAATTACAGTCTCCAGCTCGAGGTCTAACAAGATTTCTGTCTTCAATATTCAGTAGGAATCAGAGCTGAAAATATAGAGGACATTTTAGCCTCCTGAAATTCAAAAATGTCTTTTTCTAAGTGTTTGCGATTTTACACTTGCGCTACTTTGCATGAAGACACAGTATATTGGCTGACATAATATGAAGGCTGTTGTTGATCCAAGGATGAGAAAAAAATCTAGCGTGCACTGTTATTTTGCGGGGTTCCCAGGAAGCTCCGCGAAAACCCTGAGAATTTGTTGTCACTCCAAACTGCACTTGTCATAGCTGATCAGCACATTGTGACCCAGACGGGACTTTTCTCCTAGGAAGGTGGATACACAGTAACTGTTTGCCCTGCAATCCTGTGAGGAGCCCTCCTCAGGACGGAATCCTCTTCTTATGCAATTAGAGAAGAAGCACTCCTGAGTAGCATATACCTGCAAGGGCGCAAGGCCTGGGGCGGAGGGACTTACTCGCTTTCTGCAGAGGACACAGCTCAGGCAGGTGGAAGATTTACAATTTGGGTACATAATGAGAGTCCCCAGGTCCAGTCCTGAGCACTGTGGTCACTCCCAGTGATTATTGCCTAGAGAGGCTGTTCGCTGAGGAACTTTCCAAGTCAATTCTGTCACCCTCAAGTATTGGTTCATTGTTTCTCAGGCCCTAAAATCTTGGCAAGTCAGCACAGTTAAGCATCTACTGTTTTTTATGTAGGAACTTACTTAGAGCCCCTGGAGCAGCTGTTTTCCCCCCTTAGGAAAGTTTTATTCACTGTGGGTTACTATCACGCTTGGAAGCTTCCTGTGGAGGACTCAGAAACAGACTAGATTTCATTCTTTCAGTCTCCATTTCCTCCCTCCTTGGAAGAGTAAATGCTAATGGCACTGCACGGTTTTTTGTTTTTCAATAAATCATGCAAGTAGAGTCCTGATTACAAATTACTCAGACCAGACATAGTGCTTGTCAGTCAGATAAACAGTCGTCAAGAATCCGCTGAGGCCAGGTGACAGTCTGCTGAGACCACGTGACATATGTCGTCATTGCCCTGGCCCACCTATAAAATGTCATTTGCACGTCAGATGTCATTTGAGTCTATCTCTTGGGGACAGAAGTGGTTAGTAAGCCTTATGCCTTTACTTTTCTCAAAAGAGTCATTTGACATCATGGGTTTACACTCATTCTGCATGTAATACACTAAAACTGAATGAGTAAATGAGATGGCACTGTGTGTAGGACAGTGCTTCTCAGATCTCAATGCGCACACCCGAGGCTCTCACTAACATGTAGGTCAAGGTTATGGTCCTGGACCAAGGATCATACTTGAGTAGCAGGCTATTGGGGAACATTGAGATGGTTTGAAAATTTGAAACCTAAGCTAAAGAAGGCACCAAGCATATGGCATTAAACTCATTTTTCTTAAAATACAACCCTTAGTTGTATTATAAATTATTCTTTAACCATAGAGGGATTTGTTTTTAAAAAGTTTATTGATTTTTTACAGAGAGGAAGGGAGAGGGATAGAGAGTTAGAAACATCGATGAGAGAGAAGCATTGATCAGCTGCCTCCTGCACACTCCCTACTGGGGATGTGCCTGCAACCAAGGTACATGCCCTTGACCGGAATTGAACCTGGGACCCTTTAGTCCGCAGGCCAACGCTCTATCCAGTGAGCCAAATTGGCTAGGGCAACCATAGAGGGATTTTGCTAGAGGGGATGGCTCCCGTTCAGTGACAAACCATATATCTGTAAGGTTAACAAATTAAATAATGTTTGACACATCCATCTGTTTATGCCTAGAAAGAGACCCCCCCCCCTTTTTTTAAGAAAAGGTTTCTGAACAATAAGTAATCAATTTGACCATTTTGGTCATGAAAGACATTTTTAGATGGTTCACCATTTTTTAAATTGTAGAAGACATTTACAATATCCTTGACACTTCAATAGCACTTAGAATGGTGTGTGTTTTCTTTTAATTATCTTTCTAAAGATAGCTAAGGGAACAATTTCAAATAGTTCCTCCGTGCGTTTTGATATAGGTTATTTCAATCTCTGGATATTGGTGAGAATTAAGAGACTCATAGCTTTCCATGTCCTGTCATGTTAGCTTATCCTATAGGAAAATCAAATCTGGCACCTTTCAATTAGCTCCTTTACCGCTCTAATCTCAAAACAGATGAGACACGTCCTGGAGCATGAAGGCAAGATTTCTATCTGTGGGTTGCCTTCACTTCCGCAACTGTGTCTTCTCTCATGTCAAAGTTTACTGAAAGTCCTTCTTTAAAAGCAGGAAAAACTCACAGGTGGGAAGAAGGTTCTGCTGTTGAAAAATAATGTATTCCCAATAATGAGCTCTGCAACCCTCTAAGGCAGCAGTTCTCAACCTTTGGCTGTCGAATGACCCTTTCACAGGGGTCGCCTAAGACCATCCTGCATATCAGATGTTTACATTACGATTCATAACAGTAGCAACATTACAGTTATGAAGTAGCAATGAAAATAATTTTATGGTTGGGTCACAACATGAGGAACTGTATTTAAAGGGCAAGGAGGTTGAGAACCGCTGCTCTAAGGGATCACAGTGGCATATCTCATCTATACCTGGAGGTCCCGAAAGAGGATAAATGAAAATGTGTTATGGACTGGAGTTTGGTCATTCTACTTGGTAATTCGGATGTAAGCTATTTTGGAGAAAGACAAAGGATGAGAGGAGGCAAGAAATGAGGAAGAAATGTCTCTTCTCTGCCGTCACTCATGCGTTGGCACCCTATGTTTATAGTGCTTCATCACGGTGTCAGATCAAAAGGCTGCATCTTTAGCCTGGCCACGGTGGCTCAGTGGTTGAATGTCAACCTATGAACCAGAAGGTCACAGTTCGATTCCCAGTTGGGGCACATGCCTGGATTTTGGGCTCGATCCTTAGTAGGGGCCATGCAGGAAGCAGCCAATCAATGATTCTCTCTCATCGTTGATGTTTCTATCTTTCTCTCTCTCTCTGAAATCAATAAAAAATTATATATATGTATATATATATATATGTCTCCTATATAATAAAGTGCTAATATGCTAATTAACAGAACGGCCAAACGACCTTCCAGACAAAGCCAGGGCTGCCAGGGCCCACCGAAGTAGCTGGGGCTGCGAGAGCCAAAACCCTTGCACGAATTTTCTGCATTGGGCCTCTAGTATATATATATAGGCTGCATTTTTTTAAAATGACTTTGTTAGTCCCTATTTTGCATTGGTTTATTTATAACTCAAAAGGGTTTCACATTGTTTTTCCTTAAATCTTATTAGTTCCTCGTTCACTTGTCTCATCTTGAAATAAGACTTGGACCAGTTGGATTTGTAGGTGACCTCCATATTTAATTCAGTGGGTTCAGCAGTGTGCCTATCTATTTTGATATGCAAATAGGTACTGAAGAGAAGGTGCTGATTGGGATTGTAAAACGCACAATATGATCATCTGTAGCAAGAGGTAACAGTATGATTTTGTTTGGAAGATAATTGAGTCATTTTCATTTCTTGAATACCTTTGCAACTAAATCGTTGTTACTTAAAGTATCACTTAATACCAATCACCTGCCTCTAGTCATTTAGTCCCAATTACATCATTCTTGAAAGGTGTACAATCAGGTCAACACTTCTTCCATTACTTCCCTTAACTGACTTTTTCTCTCTGCTTTCCTACAACAGGTTGCAGATCAAGCTTAACCGAGAAGGCCATAGGCTGACTAACGCTGACCGGAACCACAACCGGAGAAGGGTCTTCCGCCTGCCCAGCTGGGCCCCTATTGAGCGCTCATAACTTGGCTTCCTTTGTTGCCTGTGCAGAAAATTATTGCTTGGAGCATCTGTATAGAAAATTTTCTCTATTGAAGTTTTTTTTCCTTTCTTTTCTTTCTTTTTTTTTTTTTTTTTGCACATGGAGGACAATAGTAAGGAGGGCACCACAGGTTCATAAGACCAGAGGCCGCAGGAAGATCCTTCCAGCGCAGGCCTTTGGGACTTTTCCTCTGGTTGGATTTCTGGACTTCGACAGATCCCATCCAATCATTTTGGTTTTGCTTTTCTTTTTTTTTTTTCATCTTTTTCTTTTGTCCAGCACATTGTATTTTATTTCTGGACTTCAGAAATGGGCCTGCAGACCACACAGTGGCCCAGCCATGGGGCCTTCCTCCTGAAATCTTGGCTTCTCATTTCCCTGGGACTCTACTCGCAAGTGTCCAAACTCCTGGCGTGCCCCAGCGTGTGCCGCTGCGACCGGAACTTCGTCTACTGCAATGAGCGAAGCTTGACCTCAGTGCCTCTTGGGATCCCGGAGGGCGTAACCGTACTCTACCTCCACAACAACCAAATTAATAACGCGGGGTTCCCTGCAGAACTGCACAACGTCCAGTCGGTGCACACGGTCTACCTGTACGGCAACCAACTGGATGAGTTCCCCATGAACCTTCCCAAGAACGTCCGCGTCCTCCACTTGCAGGAAAACAACATTCAGACCATCTCGCGGGTGGCTCTCGCCCAGCTCCTGAAGCTGGAAGAGCTCCACTTGGATGACAACTCCATCTCCACGGTGGGGGTGGAAGACGGGGCCTTCCGGGAGGCCATCAGCCTCAAGCTGCTGTTTCTCTCCAAGAACCACCTGAGCAGTGTGCCCGTCGGGCTCCCCGTGGACTTGCAGGAGCTGCGAGTGGATGAGAACCGGATCGCTGTCATCTCAGACATGGCCTTTCAGAACCTCACGAGCTTGGAGCGCCTCATTGTGGACGGGAACCTCCTGACCAACAAGGGCATCGCCGAGGGCACCTTCAGCCATCTCACCAAGCTCAAGGAGTTCTCCATGGTGAGGAACTCGCTCTCCCACCCCCCGCCCGATCTCCCAGGGACGCATCTGCTCCGGCTGTATCTGCAGGACAACCAGATCAACCACATCCCCCTGACCGCCTTCGCCAACCTCCGCAAGCTGGAGCGGCTGGATATCTCCAACAACCAGCTGCGCGTGTTGACCCAAGGGGTCTTCGACAACCTCGCCAACCTGAAGCAGCTCACGGCGCGGAATAACCCTTGGTTCTGTGACTGCAGCATTAAGTGGGTCACCGAGTGGCTCAAATACATCCCTTCCTCCCTCAACGTGCGCGGCTTCATGTGCCAAGGCCCCGAGCAAGTCCGGGGGATGGCCGTCAGGGAGCTGAATATGAATCTTCTGTCGTGCCCCACCACGACCCCGGGCCTGCCTGTCTTCACCCCAGCGCCCAGCACCGCGGCTCCGACCACTGAGCCGCCCACTCCCGCTGTCCCCACCCCTAGCAAAAGCTACCCGCCTCCGACTCCGACCACCTCCAAACTCCCCACGATCCCCGACTGGGATGGCAGAGAAAGAGGGACCCCGCCTCTTTCGGAGCGGATCCAGCTGTCCGTGCATTTTGTGAACGACACTTCCATTCAAGTCAGCTGGCTGTCTCTCTTCACGGTGATGGCCTACAAACTCACGTGGGTGAAAATGGGCCACAGTTTGGTCGGGGGCATCGTTCAGGAGCGCATCGTCAGTGGGGAGAAGCAGCATCTGAGCCTGGTCAACTTGGAGCCCCGATCCACCTACCGGATCTGCCTGGTGCCCCTGGATGCTTTTAACTACCGGGCCGTGGAGGACACCATTTGCTCGGAGGTCACCACCCACGCCTCGTATTTGAACAACGGCAGCAACACTGCCTCCAGCCACGAGCAGACGACGCCCCACAGCCTGGGCTCCCCGTTCCTGCTGGCGGGCCTGATCGGGGGCGCCGTGATCTTTGTGCTCGTGGTCTTGCTCAGCGTGTTTTGCTGGCACATGCACAAAAAGGGGCGCTACACGTCCCAGAAGTGGAAATACAACCGCGGCCGGCGGAAAGATGACTACTGCGAGGCGGGGACCAAGAAGGACAACTCCATCCTGGAGATGACGGAAACCAGCTTCCAGATCGTCTCCTTAAATAACGATCAGCTCCTTAAAGGAGATTTCAGACTGCAGCCCATTTACACCCCAAACGGGGGCATTAATTACACGGACTGCCACATCCCCAACAACATGCGATACTGCAACAGCAGTGTGCCAGACCTGGAGCACTGCCACACGTGACGGCCCGGGGCCAGCGTCACGCCGGCGCCCGGGGACACTCCCGGGAACACACACGTGTGCGCGCCTAGAGACACGCAGATTACATTTGATAAATGTTACTCAGATGCATTTGTGCATTTGAATACTCTGTAATTTATACGGTGTACTATATAATGGGATTTAAAAAAAAAGTGCTATCTTTTCTATTTCAAGTTAATTACAGACGGTTTTGTAACTCTTTGCTTTTTAAAATCTTACAAAATATATATATAGTTGCTGAAGTACTGTACAGGGTTGTACAAAGAGAACCCAACGCCAAGGCGAGAGAACCGGTGATTCTTCCTTCCGATGCACATTCACCACTTTGCTGTTGACGCTGTCAGGATCCATTCCTTTTCCTAGAGCTGGTGGTCAGATGAAAGGGGCCATGAAAATGGACTCATCGGGGTAGGAGAAATAACAGGGGTCAAACAAAGGATGGCCCAGATATCTTCATGCTATTTCTATACTTCCTGGTCTGGTAAAAAAGTTAAAAAAAATGCCAAAATATAAGAAAGGAGGTAGTTACCCTGATTTGACCCAAAGCAGGAAATGGAGAGAGCATCACCAGGAAGTCAGTTCCTGTGAGATAAGTTAACCCAAACTGGCGGCATCAAGAAAATGAGGCGAGTTTTGAACAGACCCTCAAACCTGGGGGTTGGTGTTCTGACCAGGAATTTATAAAAAATCACTCCTCCTGCTTCCCTGGTCCTATGTGATAACAGAGTTAGAGACCCGAGTCGGATTCCACTCATCTTCGGGGACAGGTACGATGTCCCAGCAAGAAAATTCCCTTTAGAAGTGTTACTATTCAAAGTATATGTCAGGTTGAATCACATTCAACAGAGATATATTCTAGAATACTTTTTTTAGAAGAGGCTAATAAAAATAATGGGAAGATTATATTGAATGGAATTATTTTTGATAATGAGAATTATTTGGTAGAGTCACTGCAGCTATGTCAACATGATATTGAGACAAACAAGGGGTCATCAGTGTTTGGAATATACTAAAACAGCTCGGTATTTAAAAAGTATTGATACTTTTCAGACAACAGCAAGAGATCAGTGGTTCTGCTATACTGTCAACTGCCTTTGTTAGTATCATGTTGAAATAGCTTGAATTAATACCTTTAACCCCTCGCAAATTCTTGTCTTCCAATCACCTCACATATATTTTCATAATTAGCTATTTATGCTGTTTGTTTTTCTCCCCACTCTAGTCAAAATTTAAAAGAAAGTTATGGATGCCAGTCTTGGTTTCACAAAATATCCATATACACTTTAAAATGCATACTAATTTTCACTGCTAATAATTCTATAAGGACACAGCAAAACTGACCAAAAAATGCATTTTTTTAAAAAAGCAATATTGAGTTTTCTCCTTGGATTGACTTTGATTCTGTCCCATTTTGAAATTTTATTTATTCCTTTTCAATCTCAGATGTTCCTCTTCTTTGGGAATTGGGGAGGGATAATCAATCTTATATTAACATGATAACAGATGAAAAATGAACAAGTCAGAGAGCCAAGATTTTTTCCCCCTAATTTTGGCAGGGCTGGGCACAGAACAGAGGGCATAGAGAAGAGAGGGATGTTCATGCTTCAATCTGGACCATTTTGAGGCAATGACCATCTTCAGAAAGCATATATAATTTCCTCCTTTCCATCTTTTAGATTTAGAAGGGCTATAGATCTCATATATTTTCTAAAAAAATATACCCTTGGAAAATTCTTTTCAAAGTCAAATTTAGGCATTTCACTCTGTGTTGCATATTTCCTCTACCACTGGCCGTTATTTTAGGGACCCATAAAGTTAATGCCACAATCATTTTATGCTTGCGCTCACTCACACACACACTCTCTCTCTCCGTCACTCACTTTTAACAAAATAGAACTGTGATGTGTCTTCTTTGTAAGTTTAGGTATAAAATGCTATGCAAGTTTTTCTTTATAGTAAGAGCTTTATTTTCTTTAATAATATAGCCCCAACTTATATGTTTTAACCTTCCTTGTCCCTCAGAATAAGCAGAAAACATAACTGATGATATCATGTTCTAGACACAAGAATTGAAACTGTGTAGTCAGTTGAGCTGAAATTAACTATGAATTAATTGAATTAATTCTACAGTGATTTTGATTTCCATTTTAGTTGATTAGCTAGTGAGTTTTGGCTGTTGCTTTTCTAGAGCTAGGTCCACACAGTGAAGGGATAAGACAATCTGTGCAGGTGATCAGTAAAGCAGTGAACCATCTAAACTTCAGGACAATGACATGGGGTTTTGTGTATTCAACTGGATAATTCACTTCCACCACCCTCTTCACCTTGGCTGTGTAGATAAAACTATGTGTTCAAATGATGGTACTTTGACTTTTGAGGTTGTTTTTCCTTTTATTCACAGAATAATCACTCTTATTTATTTGTGTTGTGTGTCTAACCCCTAGTGGGGTATTTGGCTGCTAAAATGATTTACTCTGGGCCAAGGTTGGAGAGGTTCTTTAACATCTTATGGGATTCACAGAATTATTTGGGGCTTACGTGGTATATTGGGGACTAGTCATGTGAAATGGTCAGGATGATCGCAAAAGGTTTCTTTGCTAGAAGATGCTCCTGAAGAGAGAGAATCTGGTTACATCTTGTAGTGCAACATGACAAAGATGGCCAAAATGAAAATCAGTCTCGGTTTGTAATCACATAACCGAGGCGCTCACCTACACCAAGATGAGAAACACATCATGGGATTTGTAATGTGGTATGTGTTTTAGGAAAACTGGTAAACAACCATCAGTGGTGGATTATGCTTTGATGTATTTGGGCCTGTTCTGCTGGCATCGTTATGTATTCTGAGGTGTTTAGCTGAGAGTCAAAGTTGAAGGTGCAGGCCAAGACCATGAGCAAAGCCATACCTACTGGCTTATAAAGAGCTTGATGCTGTCTGACCAAGTGAGATGATTTCAGAGAGTAGGCCACCAACATGCAGAGGAAATTCTCAAAGGAATAGGCATAGTCATGTTCATAGAGATATTACTGACCATCAGTCATGCCCAGGGTCGTCATTAATACCTGCTTGTTTAAGGAAATGTGTTTGATCATGGTGGGACCCTGGGCTTTCCTCAAAACTATCAGACACATTAGTGGCCCATCACATGGGACAGTCACAGGCAGAGACTGGACTGTATTCCCCTCATTCTACCCTGTGAGGAAATATTACAATTTCTAATTGTTGGTTGAAAATACATTAGAATTTCCCTTCCTGATGTTAAAAAAAAAAGGTGTAATGTGACCAGTCTGGTAAGAAGTATTAATGATGTAGCTAATAGTACAGGTCCATTTCCTACCAGTGCAGATCGTAATGGTCTCAGACATTTCACAGGAGTCAGGACTTCCCCACGGAGGACATGCTCTTCATGTGAGCAGAGCACCCATTCCAAACACAGGGAGCAGATGTGGTCCTTGACCAGCGAACCTCAGCTGCAGAGCCCATTGCAAACTTTGACAGTGAAGTGGTTACTTTCCATTGACTTCTTTGTTCATAACACCTTTCTCTAACTCTTAACAAGGAGACATTACGTTTCACTTTAGAAGGTGAGAATAACTTTGCTCATGACTTACTTTTCCAGCTGCCTGGGAAAGCAAAGCAGGAAAGAGTGCCCAATTGGGAAAGAGATATTTACACAGAACAAACAAAAGACCCCTCCCAATCCTCAATCCTGTCATTGCCTGAGGCTCTTATTTTTAACTCACTCAAAGATCTAAGAAAGCAAGCTGTCATTTATATCCTTCTCTGATGTCTTCAGCAGGATAGAAAGACAGTACTGGTGATGGGGATTGCTTGTCACTTGAGTGTGGGGAGAAAGTTTTGTACACGTATGACACTGTTGTTATAACACACCAATCATGTCATTTTGCTAAGCGCCTCGTTTTTCTAGCAGCACACCCTCCAGAAGAGCACAATGCAAGGCCATCGCAACAGGCATTTTTACACAAGTGTAAAACACGTGTGTGCACACACAAACACACATGCTGGGGCATTGGTAGAGAGATGGGATGTCAGATTTATAACCTTGTGGAGGCAAGATGAAGGCGTTGCCACTGTGTGTCCCTCAGAGGACCTGTATATCTTCACTGAAAGTTAACCCTGATGATGTGTTATTGTTTGAATCATATGTTGATTTGCTTCTGGTTTGTGTTTCATGTGTTCTTGCTGACAAGGGACTGCAAGGGGCTGGAAGATTCTGCATCGCTCACCCTCTGAGACCTATCATGTCGCACACTTTGTTAACTACAAATTCACTCTACACTATACAGTACCTTGTTGATATATTCAGTAAAGGCTTATTTTAAAAGAAAACCACATTGTGTTTATCTGAGTAAGTTTATTGGGTAATGCTTGTCAATGGTAGAGAAACAAGGGATGGTTCTCATACAGGAAGCGGGCAGGAATGAAGGAGGGAATAGGATTTTTGTTCTCTCCCACCTTTAAGACAGCGTTGGTGTTTTAAGATCATTTGACTCTTTTCATGTAGGGGTTTTACATGAAATCTTCATGTTCTCTTCTATTTCTTAAATTGTGTGTTCCTAAAAATGTCTTTAAAATGTAAACACATACTTTGAGCATATTATTTTGTATTTGTGAAGCCTATGTTGTTTAGCATATAGGTAAACACCAATGTAGTTATCTAATCAAAGTAGTCTTTTCCCTTATACATTATTGGCTTTAAATGTCAATTTTATTTAAGAATTCTTTTGGTTTTCTACTTCAGAATTTTTTTATCACTCATCTACCTATACTTTTAATTAGCACTCATGGAAAAATATCTATCCATATGCCCAAATTTGACTCTGGATTAATCTCATGATCTTCCAGGCCCCCCTCCCCTTTTTCTAAGTCCCCTCTTGGCCATTTCACTAATAATATATTAGAGATTAAATCAGGAAATAAAATCATGACACTTCAGTTAACTAGTATTAATTATTTGTAGAATTTCTGTTGGAAAAATAACTCTGAAAGGCAGTGGTAATGAGTGATTCATATTAAGTTTGGGAGATTTCATTCAAAATAATGTTCACGTGTTTCGGGTTACTTCTATCAAGAGTTACAGACCTTATTCTAAGAAGACCAGATCCTTAGTTGAGGAATATCATTCATTCAAAAAAGTTTATTAAACTTTTGCTCTTTCCAGGCACTGGGCTGTGTTTAGCGGTCTCATAGGTGACTAAAATACAACCTTAGCCAAATCAAATATACCTTCTACTCCACAATGTTCCTAAAGAAATATGTTTGCTCATTCAATGTATTTACTCCTCATCCACTTTATACAAAGGATTATGTTAGGTTATAGAGGGGATCAGAGAAAAGTATGACCCTACTGCTAAGGAGATCACAGATCATGTAATAAACTCATGTTCTCACTCATTCTAGTGTCCGAGAGCCTATGTAATAACTTAACACCATTAAACTCAACAAAGTATCTAAGGTAACAAAAGAGACATATGTACATGTGGGTAAATTTAATGACACGTCTGTCATATATTAGATGATCTTGGTGTTTAATAGATGAAACAAAGTGATCGTACATGGATAAAGTCAGAACTCAATTTTAATTAATTTTTCAAATTTATACCAAGCACTTTAAAAATGTAAGAATTGCATTTGATAATTACACATGCAACCTCTTAAACTTCCACTGAGTGCCAGAATGGAAATCAAGCTAAAATAATAATAATAGCACCCCAAAATTGTTGAGCATCACTGTATATGTAAGACTGCATTCCAAGTGCTTTGATAGAGGTGATTGCGTTTTGTCTTACTCTGTAAGGTGTATTCTGTTATTAATTTTTTCAGATTTTAAGACTCAGCTTCCTGAAAATGGCAGAGTCAGGAATTAACCCCAAGCATGACTCTATGGACTTACAACTGTTTTCTTGCCTCTTAATAAATTGACTAGCCTTAACACTGACTAGCCTTTAGGACAAATTTGTAGTTGATGTTTGAGACTTTTGATAATGGAGGTATTATCTCTTCACTCTGGATGCATATATTAAATAGTGTTTGTGACAAATCAAGGGAAAATTTTTATAAACCTCAAAATATGTCTTTGAACTTCCTTGGTAGTCCATCCCCACATTTTAAAAGAAATTCTGTTTTTGTGATTATGTGATGGCTGCACATTTATCTGATTTGAAAGCTTCAAATGGAATCAGATATGTCTACACCCACAGGGCGAGCTGAGCAAACTATTAAAAGGATGTGAGTCAGGTTATTTTTAGTAATAAATTCATTTTATACTGGAGAGGTTGCTCTAAGTATTTTGTAGATCTTGCTGAAGATGCTCACATGTCAGAATCTATTAGGGCATTAGCAAACCAGTTTCTGGATTTATGCTGTTTTCATAGCACAAATGGAGAATGTATGCTTTAGAGGATATTACGCAAGCTTTATATTCACTAGTCATATGAAAGTTAGGGATAAAGCATTTTTTTTTTGATAAAGCGTTCTTAATGTCATACTCCAAACCAGATGTCATTTTAGCACACGCACCAGCTGATAATTCCATGTATCCATTCCCTTGGTATAAAGTCTAAACTAGATAAAAATTTCAATCTATCCTTCGGAGGATTCTTATCATTTCAGTGACATCTTAAAACTCCATATTGGGTCAATCTTTTCCTAATTAAATACTGTGCTAGCTCAGAGTCTACTCAACTCCTTGGCTTGGGTAGCATGGGCCTTTGTTAGTTTAGTTTTATTTCCATCCAGTAAATATTTGCTGAGGCCAGGTACAGTTTGTTGCCGAAGAGCCTGTTTTCCAGGAGAGCTAACTGGACCATCAATCTCTCCAGTTTGACTCAGTGGATAGAGCGTCAGCCTGCAGACTGAAGGGTCCCGGGTTCGATTCCAGTCAAGGGCATGTACCTCGGTTGCAGGCTCCTTCCCGGCCCGGGCCCTGGTTGGGGCATGTGCAGGAGCCAACCAATTGATGTGTTTCTCTTACATCTATATCCTAGGCTATTGCTGCCATGTTGCCCTCTTTGAGCGCTCACCCTCCTACATTTAGTCAGCTAACCGTCATAGCCCAGCACTTACTAGTACATGCTCTCTCACATGTGTTTGCATCTCTGTTTCCTAACTCTATCACGGCTAAGACCCTTCCTCCAGTCTGTTACCAGGTGAACTGAATGCCTGATTGTGACACTGTCTTACTTTAAAAAATATTTGTGTCACATATATGTCAAAGCACACATTTCTCTCTGGTATTTCTACAAGTATTTCTTCCTCAGTCATTGTGTGCTTTATTTTTTAAAATATATTTTTATTGATTTCATAGAGGAAGAGAGAGGGATAGAAACATCAATGATGAGAGAGAATCATTGATCAGCTACCTTGTGCATGCCCCCTACTGGGGATTGAGCCTGCAACCCGGGCATGTGCCCTTGACTGGAATGGACCCGTGACCTCCTGGTTCATAGGTCCATGCTCAATCACTGAACCACAGCAGCCCAGCCAGGCTGGGCTTTATTTTCAATATATGCTTAAAGTGAATAAACAAACAAGGTTTCAGGCTATCTTCAAGCGATCCCAAGATCCTCATACTGCTCTAGTTTTGCTCAAGGTCATTCATACTATGACATTGATTTTTCTCCTTTGCCTGGTGACATGGTTCTCTTTCAAGATACAATTCAAATGGCCCCTAACCCTAAAGCTTCTTGAATCACACCTGTCAGTAACTGACTCCCCTGGTGCAGTTAATAGAACTTTTAAACACTTTTGTTTATAGCACCTCTGTAAGATAACTTTTCATGGGTCTGTTCCAGGCCTGATTTCTGGGCCCCATGGAGACAGAGCACATATTCTGTCAACTGTATCTCATTCAGGGCTGAGTAAGGTGTTTAGCCTCTGGCTGGTGCCCAGCACACGTTTTTTGGAGAAAGTGTGAATGGAGCACATGGGGCCCTGCAGGCTCCTTGTGGGATAAGGTCTCCACCCACAGCAGCAGCTCAAATACCAGCTGCTTTGTCCATCCCTATGGCTAGATGACTTCAAAATAAGCCTCAGAAAGAGCTGTGGAATTCTGAAATATGCCCAGTAAGCCTTGTTCAAACACCACAATATGCATTTTACAAGAAGCAGCAGAACATACACATTTTCTTAAAAAGCTCTCGGTTACCCATGTTTTACAGAAATTTTATGTTTGGGATTATTGGCCGGCCGCACATTAATCTGACTTGAAAGCTTTAGATGGAATCAGGATATGTCTACACCCACAGGGAAGGCTGAGAGAATGATTACAATGACTTGAAGAACATCCTTTTTACATTTCACAGACAACCTCAAAGCTCCGAGCCAGCTTGCAGAAAGGCATATACAGAAATATCTTAAAGAACTGTTGTAACATAATGTCACCATCATGAAAAGTATGGCAGACACAAAGTCAAAGTCAAACGTTTTGACAGTTTGCTAGTCAAAATGAATTCTTCACTTGTAAAAGCAGAGGTAGATTATTTTTTTTTGTTTCCATCAGCAATATCAAAAGAGACAGTCCTTATTCACCGTGTTCTAGCCTATATCTAAAATATGGCATACATTATTTAAAGGCTTATGTTGTGCCATTTGGGGTTATTATCATGAAAATAGATAGTTCTCTTCTAGAAAGGATATTCCCATAAAGGAGGCCGGGGACAGTGGTGACTATTAAGGACTCAGACTTGAATCAGGCTGGCTTCTTTTGGAAGTCTGCCTCTGCCACTGA